TTTGGACCACCCTAAAAAAAAGACCCCCATCTCCCAAACCCTATAATTCAATAACTATCCAACTTCAATAAAATCGCCTTTACCACTACTTTCAATTGTATCATCGCTATCTTCTGCAATAATTCCACGGTCTCCAGTTACGATTTGCGCCTCCCTAATAGCTCTAATCCCTGTAAACCTGGTATTTGGACTAATAACAATCTTACGTCTTTTCTTAGGTACAATAGCATCCAATTAATACTCCAATTGTTTTATACATTTCCCCAATATTATAAGTTTATAATCCTTGATATCAAAAGCTTTAATAATCTTACAAAAAAGCAAGCGTCTTGTTGCCAAATCGGGCTCTTTTTCTTGAATTATAGTTGATGTATATAATCGAAAATCCATTGCTTTTTGAGGGGTTCTCTAAGTAATAGCTGATGCCCTTATATTCCATTGAAACTAGGGATTATTATCAGAAGCTGGGTTAGGCGCTAAAACCTCTTGGTTACTGTTCTCAAGCAATAATCGACTTATAAAGGGTTTAACATGGTTTTTGGGCTATAAATCTGATACTTTCTATCCAGCTTTAATATTATAAGTTATTAAACCTTCCATTCTAGCCTTTTGGTAGTAATGAAGGAAGCTATGCTTTCCAATTGGTGTAGAATCAAAGAGAGAATTCAGATTATTGAGTGTATGTCGATAAGCATTTTTTAGAGGTGAGAAAGCTGATAAATCTAATGGTTGTAGGATGTGTGATGTATATGGTGGTAGGAATAGAAGATATATGTTGCTTTTGAAGTATTTGTATATGAAAGGTATAATTTCATAATTTTTATGCTTATCCAATATAAGTAATCGTAATTCTCCAACTTGAGAGAGGGTAATTTGAGGTATAAAAACCTTTTCCAACCATTTTAGCTTCGTTGCATCTGTAGTCCACCCATTTTCTGTAGCAGTGAAGTTCCAATCCTTATAAAGATCAATATTAATAGGAAATTATTGTTGTTGAATATGTTTTCTCTTATATATGACAAGTGGTTTGAGAGCCTGTTCTATCGCCGAAATATACTCGATAAAAGACATCCAAACTCTTGAACCAGGCTGTTTTTTTTTAATATTTCGATCCTAGGAACTTCCTACTATTAGTCCATTAAGACCTTGACCCTTTATTATACCAGCCTCGTCCATATTGTATCGATTTTCAGGTTTTATATCGATAATCTCTGGTAAATCGAGTTTTCGAAACTATGGTGCAATAATATCATGTGAAGCACCCGAAACTCGGGCAAAGTCGATTTTATATTGTCTCTTGATTCTAATCTCTGGATTTCTCTCCAAAAAGTTGTGTATTCATTGCTTTCCAAAGATAGAATCGAGTTCTTTTATATCGAGGAAATGTTCTTCAATTTCTCGAATTTGCCGATGGGTAGGACTAGTATTCAAGCTCTCCTGTACTAATATCTATTCCACGAAACGTTTCTCCTGAATCGGGACAATCTTTTGCATACTCTGATGACTTTTTTGATGGGAGATGCGGCTATTGATACGATTATAAAGTATAGTGCGAGGAATCCCATAATCCAAAGCAGCTTTTCATATCGAAACACTATTTACGATAGTATTTAAAGCTGTGGCGATATTGTCTTCCATATGGAGTTTTGATATTGTATAAATAATAGTATATCAAAATTTGAAATTGATTGATTGAATGGTTGTTTAATTATGAATTTTTGAAGAGGGTAGGTTGCTTAGGCGGTGTGGGTTTTTAGGGTGGTCTATAAGGGGGGTAGTTGACTTATAATGTATTGCTTTGAGATCACTCTTTTCAATTAAAAGCTTCTCCAATTCTCTAAATCCCTTTTGTGAGATTCCTAGATTATTTTGTATTCTAGTTGGATGTCCATCAAATAGTTCTTTCAACCATTCTTGCCCAGTTAATTTCGATGTATATTGATGATTCCTGGGCCAAAAATGTCTTCGACCATAGATGGAAGTAGCGGTTGCAGTGATAGCAATTACAATAGTTACGAACTTTCTATTGCGTTTTCGAATCCGAGTTTTTCTGGGTATTGGTGATATAGTTGATATGGGATAGGATGGGATGGAAGGGAGGGGCGGGTG